AAGAGTTGGGCTATTCTAATCATTAAAGGTGATCCAGCAAATACTATAAAATGGTTACAGGAGAAGGATGGTGATCCTTGAAGGCTGGCTCACTGCTTGGCCAAGGCTAGAGGCATTATGACTTTGATGAACATAAAAATTAATGGACCCCTAGGGAGTTAAACTCAATAGTAGATGGTTTAACTAAATCTAGTGCACACAACAAAGTTTTGTATAGTGATAGAGTTATGCATATGTAGTTCCTGAGGAGTTTTCTGTTTGTTTCTTTGGTATATCATCTCATGTACCTTTCTTTGAAATTATTAACATAATCACAGATACCTTTTTCAAAAAAAAAAAAAAAGTAGGCAACAGAAAGCCTAGCAACTCCAACCTAATACCATTTTGTAACCACAATAAGCCTTCCAAACTCAACGGTACTATAAAAGCTTGCATATTGATGATATGCTCATTCTTGTTCTTTTTCTTTGAGAGCAACAGGTTTTTTTCGAGTCTAACAAGTTCATAGCTAGTCAAGCATTTAGCACATGCAACAGCAGAGGATACTCAATGATACTATCAAAGATAGTAGATTGTTGACAGGTTCATTCTCATTCATTTTCTTTGAGAGCAACAAGCTTTTTTCCAAGTCTAACAAATTCATAGCTTGTCAAGCATTTAGCACATGCAACAGCAGAGGATATTGGCAAACACCTTCTGTTTCTTGATGCCATTGCAATAAAACATGCAATTGCTTTTTGACCTCTATAAATGAGCCTGTATAATTTATTGGTCAAGAAAAAGAGAACAAGACCTAGACTACTACTCCAAGCAACCAACCACATATTTCTAGAATCACCAGCCACTAGTATAAACCCTAGTCAGACAGTTGCCTTAATTAAACCCCCTTTTATTCCTAATTAAACCCTTCTAACCTCTAATTTTTATTCCAAACCATCCTATCTAATTACTTCCGTTAGTTCATTACATTCCATGTCACCCTTTAGAGTTCAAACCAAATTTAGAAAAGATCTTGCTTACTTAATACCCCAGCCTAACACCTATTTAGTATAATTACCCTAGCCACCTTGAATTAATACAAATATAGCTAATTAGAATAAAGGATCATTAATAATTTCTTCTGATTCAAGCTAAGAAACCAAAACCCCTGAAATCTCCCAAAATAGAAAACAAAAAGTATAGCATCCTAAAGACCCTATCTATAATAGAATCAACCTTAACAATTTTGTTCTCAAAAACATAAAAATTACTTTTTTTTTCCAAACCGACTACATAACTAATGGGAAGTATACAAGTATTAATATAAGTATAGAAACATAAAAGTGTCAGCATCACTGTGTGCCAATAGAATTTCTGGAAGTACTAGAAGTCGGAAGTATCTGCAATTCATGGGATAAACATTGCAAAAGTAGGCACAAAAGCATGGAATGAATGTAAAGAGAGATGACCTGCCAACTGAAGAGTGGTAGAGGGCTAATTTCTCTATTCCATCTTTTGTCTTGACTAGATTCTCTGATATCTCTGGGTGGTCTTGATCACAATCTGCCATGACTATTGCATATAGAATAATACTACAGTAGAGATTTTCCAAGTTAGTGACATATAAAACAGCATCAAGTATCGAAAACAACAAGAAAAGAAACTATAATGCAATATGTAATTAATATACAAGTATAGATGTGTTATACAATCCTCCGCTTGGGCTAACCTTGACTACCCACCCAATTTAATACTTGTTTATCTACAAATTCTTCCATGGGGAATGAACCCCCCCCCCCCCTAATACAAATTAGATCTATTAGCCCCTTGTCTTGCTAAAACMCCAGCCACAGTATTGACCAATCTCAGTATTCAATTGTATGTGAATATTAGTTCCCTTGTCAGCAACTTCACCTCCCTAGTTACATGTCTATGTCTCCACAGGCCCTCACTATTTATCTTGAGCCATCCCACAATTACATGTGAGTGTCCTTCCATAATCAAGTTTCGATAATCTAGTAATGCGGCCAGCCTAAAGCCTGCTTAACTCTCATCAGCTCAGCCCTTGTTGATTCAACCTTGACCAACAGAGCTCAAAAACAATGCTATCCATTGCTTTTTATAAAAACACCCCCACTCCATAATTACCTTGGTTTTCAAAGCTATATCTATCGAAGTTCAACTTGATTATGTTGAAAGGAGGTGACCAAGATATGACTGATCATTGAAGATTTCATTACAGCTGAATTTCTTGCTGTTATTCAGGGATTCAGATTGCAAGATATTTGAATTTGGAGAAGCTGATTATTGAAGGTGACTCTAAGGTGGTACTACTGTAGTAGGGTGGTTGGAAAAACCGGAGACCGTCATTTGGGCCTATAGGAGATGAAGAAGTTCAAATGGCTAACCAACACCATGACATTGAGAACACAGTAGGTTAGAAGATCAGCTAGTGGGATGGCGGGTACTCTCTCTAAGAATGGGATTAGCAGGGAATCATTGTATTGGGCAAAGTTGTAGTTTAATTTGTTTGTATGTGCGGTGCGCACCTCAAACCTCCTCTTGAGCTGCTTGTACTGTTCTATGATCTTTGATATTTCCTAATAAAATTTCTTTTTACTGACCAAAAAAAGGAGGTGACCAAGATATGACCAAAACGTTCTTGCCATAGAGGAGATTGCCACAATATACCAATCCCTTTGGTATCATTAAGAGAGAAGGGATTGAAGGTTTTCACCCAATGTGCCACCTTTATAGAAATACATTCAATGATAGACTCCATAGGTTGAATCTTCTCCTTAAAATTTTTGTTGTTTCTTTCAGCTTCTGTTTTTTATGTACTTGAAACCTCATTTACAATCAGTTAAGAGAAGCAGTTCAATTCAGCAACAGAAAAAAGGGCAGAAAGGTTATAAAATTCTCGGAGTGATAATCCAATAAAAGGACAAAAATTCCCGCCAATCATTTAAGAGAGCAAAATCTAGCTTCTGAACAAAATCCGGAAACTGGTGATTGAGTTTAGAAATTAAGCATAACAAAAAAAAAATTCTATTTTCTTCTCGGCAGACTGGTCAGGATTTCTAGTTCAGGTCTATGTCATAAAGACACATAATTTACCATATCGGCACGATCTGTAATTCCTAGCTGCAATTAAAGTTTCAAAAAACAATTATCTCAAATTGAACCTGAATTTTTCTAAAAGCAATTATTTGAAAGGAGCAAGACATTAAGTGCTGAAATGAGAACTCTTACTAACAAAAAGAGAAGGGCAATGCGATCTGTACGATTTTATCTTTGGCGGCAAACGCTGCTTATTCAAAAACTCAATAAACGGACTCTCCAAATCTTCCTCTGAAATCCTCCTCTTTTCTTCTTTCCGATCACCATCAGCAGCAACTGATTCGAAATGCTCTTGAACGAGCTTGAAGAATCTCATCAGTTGGTTCTTCTCGGTCAATCCAAGACTCCGATCCTTGAAAATTGCTGCTCGAGAATCCGGCACTGCCAAAAGTCTTCCGTCACCAGTGTAAATGAAGCTTGCGTCGATACTCTTAAATTCAATGTGGTGACTTGCACCGGATTTCAGCAACAGATCCACGGCAGGATCAGCACAGAACAAAACCCTAGGCCCTGAGATATCCAAGCTGAATTTCCTTGAAGGTTCTAGAGATTCCGGGGATACGTGAGAGGAGATCTCAAAGTTGGAGTACAGACAACGGGACTCAAGGCCTACGACCACGCAATCGCTCTGGCTGTAATTTTCTATTGATGAAGAGTATTCCTTCTGGGGAATATTCTGCTGAGACTGGAGAAAAGAGGTGAAGCTATCGAGTGGAAGAGACGAGAAATGACTGCCGTAGAAAGGGTTGGCGTCGAGGTGGAGAACGGATTTTCCGGCGGCAGAGGCGGCGGATGCTATCACTGATTCCGGTAATCCCGTTCCGACGACGATTAGATCGAATGAAGAGGTGTCAATGAAGGGATACGATACATTTTCGTCCATGGCAGCTGAGACTCGAAGGGAAACGGCGGCAAGTTTTGTACAAAGGTTCGGTTATGCGGTTGGGAGTTGGAACCGAGCAGGCGAGCACGACTTTGCCGGAATACATGATCCGAAGTTCGAACAAGGGCTTACATTTTTATTGTGCCTGTCAGTGGGTCGGGTCTGGGTCTGGTTCGGGCCACGGTGTCTCATCCCCGAACCGATTATTAATAGGGACAAGGCAGTATTCATCAACTTAGGTCAAATCCCGGTACGACGATTGCCGATTGCCGAGTGCAAGTTTTGGAGTCAGAGGAACTGAAGAGGGGCGAGGAGCATCAGGTAGTTGCAACAGTCGTTGGTAGCTCTCTCCTTATATATAGATTTTTTTTTCAAACGATTTTTGAAGCGTAAAATGGGACTGAATATTGGCGGGCATGTTGAGAAAGTTAATGGGAAGGAACTGAGTTACAGTGAATTTGTGAAGAGGTATCTTGAGAAGAACCAACCAGTTGTTCTAACAGGGCTGATGGATGACTGGAAGGCTTGCAGAGATTGGGTATATGAGAATGGAAATCCCAATCTCCACTATTTCTCTGCACATTTCGGGAAATCCAGAGTTCAGGTAATTGACTGTTTTTCTTTTTTTTTTTTGGTAACATTATAAATACCCCTTGTTTGTTGGCTTCCATCTGCAATTCCTGATAAATACCCCTTTGTTATTTTTTTATTTCTATTATTTTCTAATTTCGTGCTTATATTTATCTCTAGCACCTAGTGGAATCCTTGTTTTTGTTTTTGTTTTTTATATGTTATTATGTAATATCATTGTCAAATTTAGGTGGCGGATTGTGGTAGCAAAGAGTTCACTGATCAGAAGAGAGTGGAAATGTCGGTTTCAGAGTTCATTGACCATTGGCTTAAGCTTCCCAAAGAAGACGGTAGTTATTCAAACCGCCAGGGCAATGATCAAACAGTGTTATATTTGAAGGATTGGCATTTTGTGAAGGTGTATACAGAACTACAGAAGCAAGTTCTTGTTTACATATTTCTTCAGAGTATTTTATGCAAAGTTTTCTCATCTTTACGAGGTTACTGTTCTGTATTGCACTAGCATGGTAGTTTTATCTGTTTATCACTGGTATTTTCCTTTAAGGCTCAGTTTGGGAAGAGTGCAAATACAAATATGTTTATATGGCATTTCTAAACCTTGTATTTGCACTGTACATGTTTGTATTTGCATTCTTCCCAAATGGAGCATAAATATATAACTCAAGTCTTTTCTCAAGTAATTGATAACAGTGGATGCAACGACCATGACATCAAGAACCACTATTGATAATTCATGTAGGCATGTGATCAATATTTGCACTTTGAATTAGTTTAAGATAAAAGATGTATATTTCACGTGTATACATAGTTTTCAAGGCGCCAAGGTGAGGCTAGGCAACAGGGGGTGCCTTGTTGCCTAGTCACCTAGGCGATGGATTCTTTTATGTAAAAAACATAGACCCTAGGGTAGTTCCCCTAGGTACCATAACCATATTTCCTTAATAATTATTCATAAGAAAAGTATAAAGTTCATGTTGAAGTATAGAAAATCAACATATTCATGAGAAGAAAATGAAGAAGGAAAAGAAATTTCAAAAAATATATGGGCTGAATAGAAAAGAAGAAAAGAAAAAGTAGTAGTAGTAGTAGTAGTAGTAGTAGTAAAAGAAGAAGAAGAAGAAGAATGGTGGTGATAGGGTAAGGACATCATTACAAATAAGTGTATCTTAGTACATTCAGTGGAAGCATGGTGGTGACAGGGTAAGGGAAGGTAGATTGAGATGATTTGACCTTGTGAAATGGAAATTGATGATGCGCAATCCGGCCACTCCTAGCTGGAAGCAACTGAGCTCCTAGCTGGCGACGGGCAAGAGATACCTGCACGAAGAGAGATGAAGGAACCCGGGGTTGCTCACCCGGCGGGAACACTCCGATGCTTAAGTTAGTACTCAATTGCGAGTTGGAAGAAAATGAGTCTGCAAGAAGATGGGAAAGCTAGAGAGTGGTGAATATGCGATACCTTGGCCCCTGGGGGGTTGAAGTCTTTATATACTAACATTCTGTCAGGTTTGGAGGGGTTGATCCCAAATCTTTGCCACGGCGATCTGTTGTCAGGTAACGCCTCGGAGTGATTGGTTGTTATCATCAGGACTGGGGAGTAGGTGGGCTAATGCGACCGTTGTAGGGTACGGTCCCGCCAGGCAGGAGACAACCTCCGGGGTTGGCAGGCACGACGCCGTCAGGTGAGAGACAATGAGTGCAGTCCTCAGACTTGGCAGATGCTGCGCCGCCAGGCAAGGGACGTGGGTGCAGCTTTCAGGGTTAACAGGTACGGTTGTTAGATAGGAAGCTTCTCGCGGGACTCAGGGCTACTTGATAATGAACCCTATAGCGAGCTACCTTGTGGCGAGCTACTTGTGTCGAGTTGCTGGTGGCATGCCGAGTTGATTCTGCCCGAGGTGAGTTGTCTCCGAGGTGGCTCATTTGCTTGGGTCTAGACTGCCGTGAACTTGGTTGTTTTAGTCTGCGAACTGGGATGGACTCAACCCGAAGTACCTTCAGCTCGGGACATTTTTGTACCCGAGCTCATTCTGAGGCGAGCTGATACTTGCTGAGCTGTCATCTACGTCGAGTCATGTCCACGTGCCGATCTGCTCATGTCGAGTTGTTATTCATGTCGAGTCACGTACACGTGTCACCCGTTTATGAGGTCGGGCCAAATCACCCTTCATCAGAAATCAACAAAAATACCAATAAGAATCAATTACTTGACGCAAGCTTATGGTTTTCAAGGGCAGGAAGATCAAACAAGAACCAAGACTCATGTAGTGAGAAGTAATTTATTAGCTGATTCTTTGAATAGAATATGTGTCGTTTAGTCATTAGATATAGCAGAAATGAGGAACAGTATATATGTCTTGTCCCTGTTTAGTGGGTGTGATAGAAATTAGAAGGACATAAAATTTAAGATAAGACCACTGACTTTAATAGTTTTATCCATCTTATGTAAGTTACAAGATTATCTTTCTGATTAAAGGAATCATGTTTATGAGCTGTGGCACCACAGATTAAACAAGAAGATGACAAATGGAATCAGTCTAGATACAAAGATGGACTGGCGTTCTGTAGTCAAATTCTTGAGTCCTTGACTATTATACTGTGAAACTGAATGAAAGGGAATTGTGGTTGAAGTGGCTAATGATTAGATAAATTACTAATCAAGGGATAGATTTTTGCCTGGAAACTGTACTAGCTCCAGCTAACATTTATCCAGATTCTGAACATTCTTCTAAGGGTCAACACCCTTATCTTGGGTGGTGACAGTGTATTTTATTAAATATTATCTAATGAAAGTTATCATTTCTGATAAAAAAAGCATTTATCCAGATTCTGGTACTTCTGCATGAACAATTCCTGTAAATTGAAGATCAGCTGAAAGCACATTTTATTTAACCATCTAGGATGCAGTGGGTCTCTTTGTACATTATATTTTTGGCAGATTGTATGGGCCCTTTTTTAACTCATATCAGACCACTCAATGAGAATATAAATGGAGACTGGACAGAAAAGGCTAAATTTATCATGGAATCCACTAGCATGTTAGGAACTACATCCTCAAACTGACATGAAGTTTACTGAAATGTATTTACATGGAAGTTCTCGATTATTCCAACTAAGTAGTAGTTTTTGTCTCTGGAAAAAGGAAAGGCAGCCAGAATTCACTCCAGTAGCCTTTTTTGATAGGTAACTGTGAATTTTATTAATCATCAATAAAGAATAGTATATATGAAACTGCCAAAGCAGCTAAGGTATAGGCTCATAATCAACCATCTAACCCATGAAACGGTACATTAATTACATTTCAGCCCAGAATAAAAGATCCCTGGGCCCTAATATACCTTGTTTGGCCAAATCACTGGCCAACCCATTTGCAAATGCAGACCTCCTGTCCCAACAGAAAGTCATTCTTGTAGCCCATAACAAATGGAAACTTTTTAATAGGATTATAAATTCTTTAATGTTTTTCAAAATGATGATTTTTTAATATATTCTCTTGTATTTGGGCATGTGGCTCTTCTTTTCCTTCTTCCTAGAATAAGAGTTTTCTTTAATTATCAAAAAACTTTAATATAATAATATAAAGATTTCTAAGGCTAAGTCTAGGAACATAGGACCTGAATAATGCCCTGGAACTCCTATAGCTAGCTATCTGTCCCATGTTCTGAGCATTGGTATTATACACAGAAAATGGCTGGTTTAAAAACTAGTTTGCAAAGAAGACTATAATCCTCTAACCGATAAAAGAAAGATTGTTTCTTCTATGCTTGCACCTATTAATCTTGTATGATGCTGTTCTCAGGAGTACCCAGATTATGTGGTCTATACAACTCCACTATTTTTTCGTGATGATTGGCTGAATATATATCTTGATGGTCATCCTATGCATAGAGATCCTCACAACTATCAAAAGACAAATGAGATAAACTGCTCTGATTACCGTTTTGTTTACATGGGAGCCAAAGGTTGGTACACATACACAAGGAACACTTTCTTTTCTTCTGATGCATGCCTTAATTTTGCCTTTTATTCTGGGATGACTATACAATCTATGGAGGAAAAGGTATCAAAGTGTTGGTTATCTTATAGGGACATGGACTCCTTTACATGCCGATGTTTTCAGGTCTTATAGTTGGTCTGCAAATGTGTGTGGAAAGAAACAGTGGCATCTTCTATCCCCTTCTCAATGTCATCTTGTATTTGACAGGTATGGATATACATTCTAGAATATGTGTGTGATTATGCATCAATTTGGGCTTGATATTTTACCATGGCCATGAGCTATGATCATGATAACTGGAGCTCCAATTTCTGCTGTGGGATCAATAGGAAACTATACCATCAGGCTGCATTTCCATTGCAGGAGTAGAATGGATTTGACTTTGGATTCCATGAAAATGAAATAAATGGCCTTTTTGGAGGAAGTTTAATTCTGCTAAAACATAAATTTGCCTGCTTTTTTTCCTTTTTTTTTCTCCATCTCTCCAAATCCCAATGTAAAACATAAAAGAAATGCCCAAATGATGGGATCTGGAGATTCTTCTCAGAATTGACAAAACCAATTCTATGTCCAATTCTCAACCTAAGAGTTTGACACGTTTGATATGTGACTTGAGTGGTGAACTCGTTCTAGGAAAAATCTTATCCATCTTGTTTTGACATCCTAGTTATCAGATCATTTAATAACTTGAAAATTATCTATTCATTTAATAATTTGAGGTTTATCCGTTTATTGCATTATGTACTTTCTATATTTTGTATTCTTACATTTATAAACTTGAAATAATTATAATGAATCTAAAGTTCAATCCATGACCATTTGTTGGAGTTGAACCATACAATGCACATGGTCCATCAGTTCATCCTTAGGTGGAGAACCTCTTGGGTGGGGTATTAAATGGTCAGGCTCATTGAATGATCTTAATCTTCCAATCTAGAACTAAACTTGGATGATTAAAATAAATATTGGTTGGGGAAAAGCTGCATTTGGCAACCCGGATTCCTCAAACTGAACTTCGATGGAAGTAGCCTTGGAAATCCGGGAAGATCTGGAATTGGAGGGGTATTTAGAGATGACAAAGGAACTATAGTGGGGCTATTCTCAGGCCTTATTGGTTTGGGTGATTCCATTACAGCTGAACTAAAAGCACTGGTATTTAGGACCCAAAAAGCTAAGGAGATGGGGACGCGAAAGCTTGTTGTGGAAGGCGACTCCAAAGTAGTGATAAGCTGGCTAAAGCAAACTGAAAATATACCCTGGTTGCATAGAAATGATATCAAGAAGATTAAAAGCCTCTCCAAGGTCTTGCAGCTGTCATTTCAGTGGACTCCAAGGGCGACAAATGGATTTGCAGACCAGCTAGCAAAACAAGGGCAAACAGGGATCAGTGTTTTTGGGCTCAGTTGTAAGAATGAGAAATCATAACTGTAATTCATATTTTCTTATATTAATGAAATTCTTTTTGCTGATAAAAAAAGGTCTGCATTTGCATCAATATTTTAAGATGCGTAGGTATGGTGCAAGGTCTTCCACTATCCTGAGGCATGAGGTCTTATTCACAATGTAAGAGGCATAAGCCCCCAAGCATGTAATTCTTTTTTTTTTTTTTGATAATTCCCAAGCATGTAATTCTTAATTAGTAAATAATTAAAAATAGAAAATAGGAAAATCTCCAAAATAGATGTCTAAACAGAGTGAGTGGTACTATACTTCAAGAGCCCTAGCTGCTGAACTTTACAATAAGAAAACTGAATGGAAGGTTAGAGGCATACGCCATTACACCTCACTGTATGCATGCCTCCACCATATGCTTCAATGTTTTCTCCTGTATGCCTTTTACACCTTTTAAAACATTGATTTGCCTTAATTACTAGTGTTTGCATTGATGAGTTTTCAGTAAACTTATTCTATGCTGTCAATGTTGAGGGTAAATGGCAGAGATAGTCGTTAAGTTGTGTGATGGAACAAAACAAGGCTCTGCAATGGCATGAATTTGAAAAATGTTTATTTTGATATAGTATTTGATCTGACCTTTTATATTCCTGCAGGAACATGAAAAATTCTGTCTATGACATTTTTGCTGATGTTCCAGAGAAAAAGTTTCCAGGCTTCAGGGAGGTAATTCACCAAATAAGGCTTTGATCTATTTCTCCACCTTGTTTCTACAAAACATTGATTGTACATATATGGCATTTCAGGCTATTTGGTTGGAATGCACTCAAGAACGAAATGAAATTATCTTTGTACCTAGTGGGTGGTATCATCAAGTGCATAATCTGGTATCATTCTCAACTTCAGTCTAGTGTGTTGCAATCATGCTCTGTTCTATTAGTATTTTCAAAAATGGCCTTCACATATTTTATAACTCCAGGTGCCATGTTAAGATGCATTTAAAAAATTAAAATCCATTTGTTTTGCAAAAACTGAGTTGATCACTGAACAAAATTCATCTTTTTAACTCTTGAAGTATTGTATCTCTTTTGGTAAAGTTAGGTCTTTGACAAGAATTAGTATCTAATTTCCTTAAGGCTATGTTTGGTTTGACAGAAAATAAGAGAAACAGAAAGTTGAGGCTTGAGGAAAAGTTCTTGAGGAATTTTGTGAAATTCTTTATGAACCCACTTATATATGGATCCTTATGGGGATTCCTTTCTCTATTTACTGAAGAACACGATATGTAATCATATGATAATTATAACAACATGCATAGTAACCAACTAGGGTTTTATTGGGCCAACAATTTTTTTATTAATAACCGTAAATTTTATTAAGATAGAAATATATGCTATACAACACAACTCTTTGGGATACTTAAGTAGGACAGAAAGCAAAACAGCCATTAGCTGACAGCATAAAGCAGTATAATACAAAGATAATTAGAAAATTTTACTGGCCTCAGAACCAATGCTTTCAACCTGTTATTGACCTGGATGTTTGGACTGGTTGAGCCACCACCTGCTCATGTTTTTGGGTCTGTTTTACCCCTGAACTGTTCGCTGGCAAAAAAATACTGTTGTCTTGGTCAATGACCCAGTGAACTGGCCAGTTGAATTATTTACCTATTTGGCATGGCTAGCGCTTCATGGATTAGGCATTGCTTTTTTTATTTTTGTTTTTTATATTTCTAGCCATTTTTATCATTATTATAATAGCAAGATTTGTCACACTTAATTTTGTTCAGTATGATGAATATAAAATATTAGAGACATGCCCAGCTTTTTTTTGCAAAATTTCTGTAAGTTTCTATATTTTATAATGTATCCATTATTTATTGATTACATGCTTTTTGATGTCATGGTTTGAGCTCGATGGTCGAGTTGTTGACCCACAACTTGGAGCCAAAACAGTTTAATTTCTGGGTCATTTTTTAAAACATTGATCATAGCTAAACCATCCGCTAGGCTGTTGGCAGACCTTGGTATCATAGCTACAGTTTGCTTTCTCTTGTTCATCTTTCTTCAATGCCTTAGTCCAGTCTTCTTTTGTGTCTGTCGCTTTTTTTTTTTTTTGATAGATAACAAAAACTTTTATTAATATATATTAATGGAGCAAGATACAAGGGGAGGGGTAAAAAATCTTAACCCTCCCAATAAGAACAGTTCAGATTACAATACTGCCCAGAAAAAATTAACTCTTCCCACCCCTTGTTTGTCCAACGAATTTGCACTCCTCTTAGTCCATTGAAACTTTTTTTTTTCACTTTTCCCCTTTACCCCCTTTTTTCCCCAAAGTGCTGGTTGTGGGATTGGGTTCCATGTCAATGCTGATATGACCCAGCTAACACACCAACGAGCCAGCCCTTGTTGGTTAGTCCATTGAAACTTGATTTCCATGTTTTGAATGAGCTGTCTAACTTTCTTTTTCTCATTTAGAAATTTCCACAAACTAGAGTCATCCTGCATTAGCCAATTGATAGCCAACTTAGAATCACCTTTCACCATCATTTTTCTGATATTTAACTCTTGGGCTCTTTTTAACCCTTCCAAAACAGCCAATATTTCAGCTCTAAGAGAATCTCCCCATCCAATAGAACCAGAATACAATGCAATAATTCAAACTTCTCCATCCCTGAAAGCTCCCCCTATACCCGACGGGCCTGGATTTCCTTCACTACTACCATCAAAGTTTAGTTTAGTGAACCTCGAAGCTGGGGGGGACCAAGCTGGGTTAAACGAAATCTTCCTTGGAGCTGACCAAGCCACTTCTTTCCACTTCCTGATGATGTCTCCTTCTGAATAGTTTTCGAAGAGCTGCAAAGTCTTAGCCCAATGAACCACCCTTATAGAGATTAATTCAATGATGACACCCTTATTTCTTTCTTTCCCATGAAAGGTCCTTTGATTCCTTTCCTCCCAAACTGTCCAACATATAGCTGCTCTTACACATCTCCACAGAATTTGCCCTCTCTTCTTCAGCCCCCTAACAGTAGTAGAATGGAATAGGCTTTGTACATTTGAGGGGGGGGGGGTCCACCTGCAACCAAAAAGAGAGAAAAACCAACACCAGATCTCTGAAACAAATGGGCAGAAACCAGTAAGCGATGATAAGTCTCACCATTCTTCTTACAAAGGATGCACCAGTGCAGGGATAAACACCAATTAGGCCTTTTTCTTTGAAGTAGGTCACAAGTGTTACACTTTTCAAGGAAAGCTTCCCAACAAAAAGCACTAATTCTCAGAGGGATTGGTCTACCCCAAACTTCCAAAACTGGGAAGGAGAGTCCAAAAACAGGTGGGGAATGAGCCAATTCTTTGAAGAAAGAAGAGCATGAGAAGACACCCAAAGGAGAAGGGACCCAAATCCTACTATCCCTCCTAGAGGGGTCAATACCCACCTCATCTAGGATTTTGAGCAGGTCAGAAATAATGTTCAGTTCAAAGTCTCTAAGGGCCCTTCTAAAACCCAAGTTCCTGTCAATAGTTGAATTAGAAGTGGTAAAAAAAGTGGAGACTGACCTATTTTTAAAGCGTGATAAAGAATACAAAGAAGGGAAAAGCTCTTTCAACGGAGTGCTTCTCACCCAAACATGATCCCAAAATTTCACAAGGTTACCAGAGCACAGGTCATACCTGATTAGAGGAAGGAAAGAAGGAAGTATGGCATGGATGGATTTCCAAGGAAAAACTCTCATAGCCCTAGCTGAAACTCCCGAGTCCCAGCCATCTGCCGCTTACCCATGAATACTTAAGACAACTTGAGCCCACAGTTTATCCCTCTCCAAAGTCAATCTCCAAAGTCATTTCCCCAACAGTGCTTCATTCTTTTTCTGCGAATTACCTAAAGCAAGCTCACCATCACTTTTGGTTTTGGTAACTATATCCCACCTGACTCTATGGTCCCTTTTCTCCTCTCTTGGTTCCCAAGGGAAATCTCTCATTAGCTTTTCCAAAATCCCACATATTCCCTCAGGCATTTTAAACACCGACAGAAAGTGAACAGACAAATTGGCCAATGTTAACTTCATCAAAGTTATCCTGCCTCCCAAGGAAAGGTAATTTTTCTTCCAAGATGATAACCTCTTAGTGAGCCTATCAATCACCGGATTCTAGAAACTCTTTTTGCTTGGGTTATCCCCTAGTGGCAGCCCCAAATAAATCAATGGCCATTGAGCAATCTCACATCCCAAAATTCGAGCTCTATCCTCCACCTCACTTTCACTCATATTGATGCCAATCACACAGCTCTTATCTAAATTCACTTTGAGATTAGTCACCTGTTCGAACACATTGATCACTTGCTTTAGATTACTAACCCAACTTACCTCATCCCCACCATAGAAGAGAATTGTGTCGTCAGCAAATTGTAGATGTGTTACTGGGACCCTATCCCTCCCTACCCTCCAGCCTTTCACCAAGTTTCTAGAATCTGCCCTCTCAATCAGCTTCCCTAGGACTTCAGCAATTAGGGTAAAAAGGAAAGGAGAAAGGGGGTCTCCTTGCCTAATGCCCCTAGTAGCCGGGAAGTTATCTACCACCTTACCATTCACCAAAATGGAATAGTAGCATGTCCTAATACATCCTTTCACCCAACTGCACCACTTCTGCCCAAATCCAAAAGACTCTAGGACTTCCAATAAAAATGACCAATCCACCAAATCATATGCCTTCTCGAGATCCAATTTGCACACCAACCCTTTCTTCCCACTTCTTTTGAAATCTTCCACACTCTCATTTGCAATTAGGATTTGATCCACAATTTGTCTATTTTTCACAAAGGCACTTTGATTCGGGGAAATTATTAAGGGTAGCACCTTTCTAATCCTCCGAGATAGCACCTTAGCAATGATTTTATAAAGGTTGTGTACCAAACTAATGGGCCTGAACTCTTTGGGGTGACAAGCTTCTCCCTTTTTCGGAATTAGAGCAAGGAAGGTAGAGTTTAGGCCTAGATTGATCACCCATCTTTCAAAAAATTCAGAAAACACTCTTTGAATATCCTCCTTAAGTATCTCCCAACAGTCTTGGTAAAAAGCCATCACAAAGCAATCAGGACCAGGTGCTTTAGATCTATTCATAGAAAATATGGCTACCCTTATTTCTTCTAATTCAAAACTTCTCTCCAACCACACCCTCGATTCTTCCGGGAGCCTAGGCCACTCCAAACCTTCAATCTATAACCTACTAGACATAGGCCTTTTGTTGATGGACTTAAAATGATCCACAAAAGCCCCTTCAATCTCATTCTGCTAGGTTAATGTTACACCATTAATCACTAGCTTGGAGATAAGGTTCTTCTTTCTCCTACCATTGGCTATAGCATGAAAGAACTTTGTGTTCCTATCACCTTCCTTTACCCACTTGTGTCTGGACTTTTGCCTCCAACTAATTTCTTCTTTGAAGAGGACATCCTCCAAATTTTTCCTCAGCTCCCATCTGAGCTCTTTGTCCCTTTCCCCAAACAAACCTAGTTCTTCTTTTGCATCTAGCTCCTCAATCTGATTAACCAACTATTGTTTTCTTTCCTCAAGCCTCCCAAAATGAAGAATATCCCATTCTTTGATTTTACTTTTCAACTCTTTCAACTTCCATTGAAATTTCATACCTTCTCAATTGACCCTTGGGTTACTTCCTACCCACTATTCCTTTACTTTCTCCTTAAAACCTGGATGGGACAGCCACATATTCTCAAATCTGAAAGGGGTAGGTCCTCTATTCCTAGGCTCAAGCTTACTTATTAGAACTGGCCAATGATCAGAGGTGACTCTAGGCAATGTCCTTGACATCATGTCTCCCCAATGTTCTTCCCAATCAGCAGTGAAAAGAAATCTGTCTAACTTTGAAATCTGGTATTCTCTTGTGTCTGTCTCTTTTCCTGCTAAAGAAATCTGGTATTCTCCTATGCCGCCAAAAGTTAGGGCTTTTTGCTGGGAAGTGGCTCTTCAAAAGATCAATACTATGGATGTACTTCAAAGAAAAAGGCCAGACTAGAGCCTTTCCCTACATGTCTGTTACCTTTGCTTAAGAAATGGTGAGACGGCGACTCATCTTTTGATTTCTTGTCCTTTTGCTTATTATTTGTGGAATTGGTTCTCTTCTTTGTTTGGTTACAGATGGAACCCCCCCTCAGGTGTGCTGAACCATTTTGACTCTAGCTTCTTCCGATAACCAAGGAAAAGGAGCAAAATAATGTGGAGAATAACAAGAGCTGCCATCCTATGGTCAATTTGGGAAGAGAGAAACAATAGGATCTTCCTAGGGCAAGAAAAATCTAAGGAAGCACTTGTGAAGGTTGTCACCATCAAGGTTATGTATGCACTGGCTGAAAGTACATCATCTCTTCAAGGATTTCTCCTCAGCGGACTTAATTAGAAATTGGAGTGTTATAGCTATATCCTCGCCTTCCTCCCCTGTGGTACAAGATTGTTGGGTATGTTATGGGCCCGCGAATAGGATCTCGTCACGGGTCGGTCCATGGGGAAAACCTCTTGTTTTCCCTTGTTCCTCTCTTTTCTTGAAGAACCTATCTTGCCGCCCTAAAGTTGATTTGTTCAAGAGATCACCAACTCTCCTTTGCTCTCTTTCTTGACTGAAATTTTYGATATGTTTATTGAATAATATCAGCTCCTTAAATAGGAGATTACAAGAGGTAGAATCCTATTTTTAGGAAGACTCCTTGCTAATCTACTACTCTATCCTATTAAACTGATAAGATAAGACTAAATTGATAAAGATAAGACTTCCTTGATCTATCCTACTGAACTGATAAGATAAGATAAGAACTGTAATTAGATAAGATAAGACTCCCTTAATCTATCCTACTGAACTGATAAGATAAGATAACTGAATAGATAAGACTCCTACTAATCCCTACTACTGAAAGCAGATAAGGTAAGAATACTGAATAGATAAGATAGGATGAAAACACTAAATTGCTGCTGCTGCTGCTGCTGTCGGCGCCCACATCAGGGTACCACCGCCTCAGGTCAAGGTGAAGCTAAACTTTGATGGAAGCTCCTTGGGTAATCTAGGTCAGTCGGGAGTTGGGGGTGTGTACAGAAACGATGACGGAAAATCTTGGCCCTTTACTCGGGCCTGGGAGATTCATTAAGGGCAGAAGTAGTGGCCTTGCTTCAAGGTTTGAAACTGGCAAAACAATGGGGCATGCAACAATTAGAAGTGGAAGGAGACTCCAAGCTGGTAATAGGGTGGATGCAAACTGGAAACCTGGGAGTGTGGACTCTTAGACAGCCTCTAAGAGAGATTATTAGCTTAGCAAGGAAGATTGGGGTGCACTTTAATTGGGTAAGAAGGTCAGCAAATGGAATGGCTGACACTTTAGCTAAGCAAGGAGTTACTAGGGAGGCTTTATTTTGGGCCTGTTTGTAAGTTTTTTATTTTCTTTTTCCATCCATTTTGTGGGTGGTAAGCCTGTAATCTTTTTAATTATCTAATGAAAGTTACCGTTTCCTATAAAAAAAAAGGCTGTTGCTTCTCTAATTTTGAGGTCTAAGGTGCCAAGGTCCTTCAGTTTGGAGAGAAACCAATCAATAATAACTTGGCAATCTTCTTCAAAAGTAAATCAACTCTAACAAGCTGTCACATTGCCAATTTTATCCCTTGAAGAAGTGCTAACAGTTCTTTCCTTGATGAATTTCCAAATCTGGTTGGGCCCGAATAGTTCAATACCATGTTTTTGTCATGATCTATAAAAGCTCCCTCTACGCATACATACGTACATATGTACATAAGCCACTCTCTTACGATTGAATATCAATTGAAATTCCTCTCTAGTTTTCAGCCTATGTACCATCCACATCATACAAAGCTCTATAATACTCTGTGCATCTTGACTCTTATTTTCGAAAATTCTGAAATTCTGTTCATACCAAATGCTCCATAGAATTGCTGCCATCATACTGTGCCTAAAAATTTACCCTCTTCTTTTTGTGCATGGGAAGGATTTGTAAAGAAAACAACTCTACAATCTTACGAGTAAACGAAGCAACACCAAAAAGGTTGGAAAAATGACTCCATACCTTTGTAGTGAATGGGCACTCAAGAAAGAGGTGATTTACATTCTCGATTTGGAAAGGGGTTGAAAAAAGTAACAGTTCATTTAGCAAGAAAATCAAGTTTGAAGTAGGAAGAGGAACCAGGGTTCAATTCTGGATGGATTTCTGGTGGAGAAACAACTTGTTAAAGGATGATTTTCCAGATCTGTTTGTAATCACAGTGGACAAAGAGGCAAAAGTGGCCAATTATGTGCATTTTCAAAATGGCGATCAGGTTTGGAGCCCACAGTTTAGAAGAGCTCTAAATGATTGGAAGATTGAACCTTTTGGGCAGCTACTTCAGAAATTGTACAGCATGCAAATCAATTTTAATTCAGAGGACAGAAGGGTCTGGTCAGAAGATTGAAAGGGTGAGTTCACAGTAAAATCTTTTTATAATAAATTGACCCAAGAGGATGAGCAGGATGTCCCTTGGCATGTAATCTGGAGTAAGTTTATTCCTTCAAAGGTGGCTTTCTTTGTTTGGTCTGCCTATCTGAACAAGATTCTTACAAAAGACAACCTGATCAGGAGGGGAGTGGTGATTGACTCACCTGTTTGTGTGTTATGTAATGGAGTAGAAGAGTCAGTTGACCACCTGTTTCTGCATTGCAGTTTTACATACAACATATGGGTGAAAATCTTTAGAATTTTCGCCATTAAAAGTTGCTGCCCTGCATCAGTGGAAGCTTTTGTAAAAGGCTGGTGGACACATGGTCTGAGTAAGAGGGAAAAATCTATGGCAAATGGTCCCAGGAGCAGTTTTTTGGTCAATTTGGCAGGAAAGAAACTCAAGACTCTTTCAAAGTAAAGGCTGTCAAGAAGGGGAAGTGTAGCAAAAAATAGTTGGGAAACTGCTATCCTGGTCATCTGCACATCTATCAAGAAATAGTGTTCCCCTTAGTTCTCTCTTTCATTTTGAAAACCTTTTTGTAATGACAAATGGGATAGTGGTCTAATGTTTGTTTTGTATTCCCCAATGTATAGTGTCTGGTTGTACATGGGTCTTTTCTCTCTTTTTCTTAATGAATCAATATTTTACCTCTTTTTTCAAAAAAATAAAAAAAATCTTTCAGACATATATCATCGTCTTGAAGAAAGTGACTCTTTACTTGTGTCTCTTGGCAGGCTTCTTACCTGTGTCTTTTAACCCATATTACCAAGTTTGATTTAAAATCCAATCAGATCTGGTACTGTTAGATTTGGTTAAAAATCATTAGAATTTTTTGGTTATTTGTTGTTACAAAGGGGGGGATGGATGACTTGTAGACATGCTTTTACAAATCATAACCACTCTATGTCTACCAATTAATAATCATCTTGATAAATAACAAAATTTTTATTAATAGGCAACAATATACTACTTTCCTAATTTGAGTTCAATCCTTTTGTGCATATGGGCCATCCAAATCTGAAAATAGTTGGATTGGATCTCATGGATTACTGTGGCCTATTCTTTTTCTTTAGTTTGTTTGTGAGGAATTACTATATTTTCCTAATTTAAGAATTTTACTTGTATTTCTTTTGCAGGAGGATACAATATCCATAAACCACAACTGGTTCAATGCCTATAATCTTTCTTGGGTGGTAAGTAGAGCTAAGTAATTCACCTGTCATAGCCTACAAAACTTTGAGGAAGACCATCTTCCAACAAATTGAGCTACATCTCATTATATTTTTATCTGTTTTCAGTGGGAATTGCTTGTCAAAGATTATAATGAGGCAAAAGAGTACATAGAGGACATTAGAGATATATGTGATGATTTTGAAGGCCTCTGTCAGCGAAACCTTGCAGCTAACACAGGTAAAGTGTTGTAGCAAAGAGGAGCTCTGAATTATGAATATTAGGAAGGCAATCCATAAAAAAAGGAATATTAGGAAGGCAGAATGTGATGTAGGACAGTAGGACTGATTCATTAGGTATGCAACCCTACATGCCATGGTTTCATAATAGCATGGTTAGGGTTGGAGGGTGGGCTAATAGGGTTATGTTTGAAGCAAATAAGGAATTGGTGTTCAGGAAATTTGGTTTTAGTGTCCTTTAGGCAATAACAATGCGTATAAGATATCACAAGGACTTTATGCCTGTACCAAGAATGAAGAGAAGGTTGAATCAAGTTCCTGATCTTGAACCTTGGGCAAGGAGTTTTTCTTTATCTTCTCCTGCAAGTAGAGAAAATATTTCTACAAGAACATATGCACGAGCTACCATGCACAGCCAACATTATTTTTCCAGGGGAGCTCTTCAGTCTTAATTCACATTAAATCATCTGAAAAATCCTTTGAGGCTGATTGACGGTCCTTATGCATACAATAGTGTTTTCCAGATCTACATTTATAAGAATACTCTAAATAAGAGTCCTAAATGAAATAGGAATTTTACTAGTGTGACACATGAGCTGTCTGTGTTGAATCCCAGGAGCATGGAATAGTTTGTTGAACTGTATTGAAGGAAATAGCGCATAGTGGACCTGCATGTTCTCTACATATCTTATGGACCTTGAGTTAGAATAGAGTAGCCTAAATGCCCTTGCATCAGGGTAGGGACAGCCTTCCTTACTCTCCCAAGTCAAATATTGGCATGGTTAGATGATCTTATAGGTGAAGAATATGGCTAGAATTTTTTTTTACTTTAAGAAGTTCCAGATTGGATGATTAACTTCATACCAAGTGTTTTTGGTGGGAGTCATTGAATTTGGATGATTAACTTCATACCCAAAATTATTATTACCTTTCAAAAAAAAGAGTGGAAAGTTAGATATTGGGAACAAATGGAATACAACCTTAAATCCACCCATCCTTGGTCTGAATAACTTATCTCAATTCTGGTGATGCAGTATTTGTAAGGAAGTAAAGAACAAAAGGTCTCTTAACCAAAGGCAGATTCAATGCCAAATCCCTGTTTATTCACTATTCAGTTAGACCACCCTTAATCACCCAACTACATGCTTGCCCGTGGGATGCAGACACATACACATACATGTGCAGAAGCCAAATAGCCCAAACTAGCAAACCTAATCACAACCCATTTATTAACCAAACCCAATGTGACACATAATTCTGTTGAGACTCAAGAATCTCCACCAACCCCAACTCAGAGTTTGGAAAGTCCAAAACAAACCTACAAAAGGGGCTGCATCAGTTAGGTTCATGTTGCTATTGAACTTGCTCAAGTTGCATTTAATACATTAAATTGTAGATCCTGCATATGATATAGACCATGCATCAAACACAGTTAGGACATGAGCGTCTCTGCATTTAAATTATCATTATTTTAATCTACTAATGCTTATATAGGAAGGATGCTGAAATGTTTAGTTACTGAAGTTTTACTGATTTCTACGTCTCTCGTGTATAGTTTCTCTTAGTCATTTCTTTGTTTCTAACAGGCATGAATTTATTGGATTTCTTCATCTGCATCTCACGTTTCTCTTTTGCCAACTTGATCCAACTGTACCATCTTGTAAGAAACTACAGTAATTTCACTAGGGATCCATTGCCAAGAATTCAGTATCTAATTATAAATCTCACATGCTTATGCAAAGTTGCATTGAAGATGGAGTCCATGGAGAGTTTGAGTGGAAATGAAGCAACTTTAGTGGGTGTCCTAGAAGTTATAGGGCAGTCAGAGTTCTTGGATCTGTGCATAGCTTTAAATGGAACATATGAGACGGTAATTGGGCCAACTTCTGATATAAATTACTCTTTAGGAAATAATTTAGTGGAGATGGACTTTATGGAAGATTATGATTTTAAGGTTTCCAACCCCAAAGATCTTATTACAGTCATAGAGTGTGTTTTGAATAAAGTTGGTTGCTTTTCTAGTAACAAAAACATTAACCTGTTCTCTAAATTGAGTGACATCAAATCTCAATGGCTCTGTAAGAGGTAATATTTGAATAAAATGCCATAGCTGAGCCCTTGAAGAACCGCTTACTCAAAAGTTCCTGTAAATTGCATAGATGCCTTTTGTTTGGGATATTTTCAGTTTATGGGTGTTGCCATAAGAGGTGTCGAAGACGCAACCACTGTCATGATGACCCATACTCACACAGGTCAGTAAAATACAGGATGATAGTTGTGCAAACTTCTGCTTCTGTGGATTTGGATTTACTTGAAGCTTCTAGATTTAATGTCTCTTTCTTCAGAATGATACTACAGTCATGGACTGTGCCATCACAAATATTTATTGGATAATTGGATTTCTAGCTGTATGAACTCAATGACTTGAACCCTCACTGCTTCTGTTAGAGGTAATAATATATTTGGATGTAAATTCATGTCAAGTCGTCATTTGAGAGTTTCCAATTCAAGTCATTTGGGATATCTTGAGATGGTATGGATTTTGTCCCGGCAGAGGTTTTCAAACCAAAGCAACTGATGTAAAGGACTATGGTTAAAAGGTGAGTTGAGAGATGGGGATGTGATTGTTCACTTGAGAGTTGTGCGTGCTAAACAAGTGACCAAGGATCTAAAGGAGTTTTAGTGGACCAAGAGGCAGGATGGAGATTATATGCTCGTATGGTTGCAGAATAGGAAGCTGAAAGTGCCAAATGATGTACCAAAGATCTACAATAAGACAAAATGGAAAGATCATATCTCGACAGGGTGGTATGGAAATTCACAATTAATGAGAATTCGCACCATGGGGCTTTGAAATTGTTCCGTTGGTGGAGGAGATATATGCAGAAACCAATTTTTTTCTGGTATGGATAACTGTGCAGATATATTTACAAGTATGCAATGCTGATAAATATCACCAGCCTGATGCGTCAAAGGTTTGGAGATGACCTGTTTCTAACTTTTTTGTTCCCCATTTCAATGAAAAATAAATTGTTATTAACTTTTTTATTGATAAAAAAAAAGTTTAGTTTTGCCAATATTTTTGCCTTATTTGGAGAGCTGTTGCTTGATTGCGGTTTTTTCTTTTTCATTTCAGAAATGGATGGAAACTCATTATGTCTTTTGAGTTTTTCAATTTGAAATGTCAATTTCAGAAATAAATGATTCTCAAATTATCAAAGCATGACTTATGCAGCCAAAATAAATAAATTTTCAAAATATTCAAGAAATGACTTACGCAGCCGAAGTATCAGATTGTTGGAAAACTGATGGTGTTATGTGCTCATGTAGACCATTAAACAAGTGACCACCATTGTTGCACTGGGCTGTGGTGACCACAATTTTTTTAATTCTCAAAAAAGAAAAAAAAAAAAAGAAGGAAAGAGAGAAGTGGAGGGAGAGGGAAGAAGCAGCCAAGAAGAGGAAAGGTTGTTTGATCTGAGAGTATGTAAACTTAAGTGCATTATTCCATTTCTCATGGCCATACGGGATTATTTCGTATAGATCCTTCATTCCTTGGCAATTCCCAGTAAGCCATAGGTTGAACATCTATTATCACTGAGGCGCAAAACGGCAAAAGGCCCACGGAGTTGCTGTTATTCAGGTTTCCTGTCGGTGAGAGAGAGGGCCCATTTGGGAGGGCTTCGGCTCTAATTGAGCTGCTTTTTCACTGAGCCACTTTGATTCGATGACTACAACAAATTTCACTGGAAAGCATGTTTTTCAAACTGTCGTTGCCCGGATGGTTGGACCATTTGATCCAGAACTGTCTAGGCAACCAGTTCCATTGTACCCCTGAATCATTCCTTTGTCAAAAATTGTTGATTTGGTCAATAACCTGCTGACTCAAGCAATCAAACTGTTGATCCATTTGACCTGGACAATGGTTATTTTTAGTTTTAAACTGTGACTGTTGGTTTGGATCAGATGGTCAAACCAGTGGCCAAAGCAGTTTTGATTCAGTATCGATTTTTAAAACATTGCTAGAAAGCCAATTGTTTGATTGAACGAAAGCACATTAGGCTTCTGGGTTTTACACCAAACATAGCTTTTAGGCTGTTTGTGTGGCGCCCACCTTGCAAAAAGCCGCTGTGTGAAAGCCCTACCAAACAAGCACCTAGACCTAGTAAAGGCCGCCATGTGGGGAATTTAATGATATTAATTAGTATACGTGGAACACCATGCATGACTTCATGTTACAAGAGACCTGTGTGCATTGGGTGTTAAAAAGATGCCCTCTTGTCACAAGTGACTCCTTCGCCGCTCCAACAAGCACCTACAGTGAACCATCCGAGTGCCAACCGCGTGCCTTCATGGTGTCAACATGTGTGTCATGGGTGGGCTTTACTTGTATTTTGTAAGGGGGACCGCCAATGGCGTTATTGTAATTACTTARWATGCTTTTCCATCATTTTGATGTTTCCTATTGTCACTCCCCCAAAAGCTTAACGTACTCTTTGAGGAGGGGTGGTCGACCTCCTTGGGTGCCTAACCTTGGCACTCCTAGACCTTCATCCCCTTGCGGGGCGGCCCTGGTTCAAGCATGTCCCTTCACTTCGCCAGCCCCTTGCCCAAGCTGAGTGAGCTACCCCGTTGCCCTTAGCGCACGGGTGTGTTCCGGCCCATGCGGTTGCCTATCATCATGGCACACAGGTGCCTGTCATCGTCAGCATACAGGAGACCCTTCACATCGGTGCCAAGTCACCTTATCGGCGCATGGTCGCCTTCCATKATGGTTGTCCCCCTTTAGCACGTAAGCGGCGCCTCCCATGGACCGGTCTGAGCCAGGAGAGTGCCCCGGCCATTGGACTTGAGGTCATGATCCAGTGCTACTGACGTTGG